AAAAATCCTGTGCTGCTCCCTTGCAGCACAGAGAACAGCTGAATCTTTGCACCACATACTGCACAGCCGTGCTCATCTGAATGCGGCCCATGAGTTCACATGTGCAGACACCCTAGGTGCCCTGCCAGCTAGCACCGGTTCAGACCCCTGGGAGTGAAGACTCAAGAAGCATCACTAGGGATTGGTTCTCACCTCCTCTCTCTCTCCTGAGCTACCATGAATATTTATACAAGGAAAGAAAGCTATTCTTTACTGGCAACATTTGCCCAGGCCAGTGATGCTCAACCAGGGTGCTGCAGCACCCTAATGTACCATGAGATTCTTTTAAGGTGCTGCAAGGTGCCATGCGATATTAGCACTGTTAGATGCATAAATACCTACATAATTCACAAAATAAATGCAGAGATTTCAAATAGGCATTCACAACATCAATGCCATTCTGACCTGTTGCATCTTACAACAAAACTGCTTTATTATTTTCCTGCAGTCAAAAATTAGATAAATTAGTTTTCCAAATGAGGTGCCACTGACTTCAGACAGTTATGGAGGTTGAGTCTAAAAAGGCTGAGAACCACTGCTGTGGGTTCAGGCACAGCCAGTTAAATTTTTATCCTCTTCTCCCTGGTGCGGGCAATGGAGCCAGAAACAATCCTCTTCTCTATGATGCAGCAAGCAGTCAACTAAGTGGGTGCTGAGCAGCTGTTCAGTGTACTTCCAAGATATTAGAGCTGCACCTGGGACTACAGGGAATCAATGCAGGCAAGTCAAAGAAGTAAGAAAAAGACTGATTAAAAATTTGTTAGTTTAAAACTGGAGAATACTGTTCCAGGACTACAATTACACTTCATAAACAGCACACACATCTTCCGAGTACAGTTGCCCTTAAAGGTCACAATTTGGACCTTAGAGTGTTAAAACAGGCTCCACAATTGACAGGTTGAGTACTCCTTCTATATAAATCAGGCTTATTTTAAATACCCAGAAGTTGAAAAAAATCATACCCACTGACCTTCAGGTGCTTTTCCTGCAAACTAGAAAGAACTTCAACAAAACAAAACACAAAAGGGCCAAAGGACTGGAAAGGGCCTCTGGAGTCCAGTACCTTCCCTTGCTATAGCAGGTAATACGCCATATAATGCCAGTTCCATCTTGAAAATGGTTAGGCTTTTTGCCCCAACTATCTATTCCAAACCCTCACTCCTCTGGTTGTTAGAAGCTTGCTTCCAATTCCTGGACTAAAGTTTATTCATGACCAGCTAATACGCATTTGTTCTTGTGCCAACACTGTCCATTAGCTTTAACAGCTTCTGGTGTTCATCTCCCTGATGTGTTTATAGAAAGCACTCAGATCCTTTCAGCCTTTGTTATACTAAACTAAACAGGCCAGGCTCTTTTACTCTCCACTCATAAGATAGGCTCTCCATTCCTCATTCATCCTAGTAACCCTTCTCTTCACTAATTAATTTCTGAATTAATCTTCACTGAACATAGGTGTTCAAAATTGTAAACAGTATTCCAAATGTGTTGATAGTGTCTTGTACAATTAATAATTATAACTACATTAGTGGTTCCTTAGCTCTACCATGCCTCATATATACTAAGATATTTGCTTTTTTAATAGCCACCTCACACTGACAGTTCACTGTCTTCTTGTAAATGACTAATACAGATAAGTCTTTTTTTGTCATTTCTAACTAATGACCTTCCCAATTTATAGTCTAATTTACTGTTATTGGTTTCTAAATGAACAATCTGGCCTTCAGTATGGTTGAATATAAATTCCATTTCTCTTATACCAGATTTAAGGTCATCTTGTATTTGAATCCTCCTTGTATTTGGATGCCTCCCAACTCTGAAGCACAGCAAGTTTAATCAATACACTTGTATTTTTTCTGCCTAGACCACTATGGAAATATTTAAGTTTGGTCCCAAGATTGATCCTTAAGGAACTCCACTAACAATACCCCTGAACTTTGACAGTCCCCCTCTTTCAGCACAACACATCATTGTTGTTTTTAACCGGTTCCTTATCATTCTACAAATCTTGAATTCATCTCCCATTTTCTATTTACCTCCACATCTTTAACTATTCTTTACTTCACAAAGAATCCTGTAGTCATACATGCTACTGAGGTAATATTATTTTGACAGATTTATTAAAAATCCTTTCTACTGGACTTGCAATTGTATATGCCAGTTCTTTTTTTTTCTTTCTTTTTTTTTTTTAGAGGTTTGGAACACACATTATCTGATCTCCATTCCCTTATGCTCACCCTCTGCCTCAGTTAACACATTAACATCTTTCAGCTGTTTCCATCTTAGCTGTTGTTATTTTTGTTTCAATGCACATTGCCTATCCTTCCTTTGGCCCCAAGTTCAACTACATCAGTTTTCAATAAAGATGATAAGTATTCATTTAGTTTTTAAATTGCATCTAAATCATCTTCATCCAAGATGAACATGGGCTGACAATGCGAGGTCATGGTT